TTCTAAGGTTAGCATTATTTTTGAGCTGTGGAAATGACTAATGAGTGATGAATAATTAAGGCGTAAATTTTAATAACGCATTGATTGGTTTTATCGGCGATTTATCATTGAATCGAATCTATATTCACCTTCGAATTCTGATTTTTATCCACCATAAAATAATGTTAAGAGAGCGCTGGAGAGTATTCATCATTCATGGGTTTTCATCTCATGATTATTTAGTTGGGAGGTTCAAGTATATCAAGGCTAACAAATTAAGTTAATTTATCAAAATTCGCATCTCACTCCAGAACGAAACAAAATAAATGTATAAACACCCAAATTTAAAGGGCAACATAGATTTGGTCTATTAAAAATAGGTGATAAAATTTACGCCTTAATTAGTCATCAGCCAATTCCAAAGCTTTAAAAGCTTCAAACTAGATGAGAGAACTTGTCAGTTCTCGAAAAAATTGAAAATGTATTTCTCGTTTTTGTTTGTTCTTTTCTTCATCAATCTTCAAGTTGAAGCTAATAATTCATGTAATGATGAATGTTTAACTAAAACTTATTGTATATCAAGTGATGGTTCTGGTGTTTGCTCAACAAATAATCTGGTTACTGCTTCATTCCAAGTGATTCCAGTCTTTGGTAAATACGACTCTCTCCAATTAACCCTGCAAGGCTACAATGTAACAGTACATGATGAAGCAACAATCAAAGTTCGAATTAATCCTCATCGTTCTCGTCCATATGTATACATTTGTCATAAATCTTCTGATGGGCAAACTGATGCAAGGCTTGATCTTCTCACCTACATGCCGATAACTGGATCATCGTCTTACAAGGATGGTGTCTTGTCCTGTACCTGGACTCTCAATATAAAGGGTGATAACTGGCCAAAGGGTGCAGATGTGATTAAAGACAGTAAACAAGCAATAACACTCTATCACAACTCAAAGAAAGTCATAGTTGCTCAAGACATTAGTCAACTTCCAATCTATCACGCTCAATATCTCAAGTGCTGCAATAAGGTTCATGGTAACGAAAGGTTTCTTCTCTCTTTTGACAAAACCGAAAAACAAATACGCTATCGATTTTATTATTGGAAATACAGTGGTAATGATATGACTGTAACTCTAACGAGAAAAGATGGAATCAAATTACAATTTGAATGTTTTCTGAATTACGATGTACGAGGCTTCATTAGCAATGGCAATGAACAAATTGCTGTCGATCAACAGATCACACAATCAACCGTGAACAATGCCGAAATCTGCTCATGGGCTACTCCTCTTGTTTTGGGCGATTCAAGAATCAGTCTTGATGCATCTACCAATGTCTTTGACTTGCAAGTGTATCTTGGCAGTATCCTAGTCTACAATGAGCAAGATGTTACATTGAACAATTGATAACATTTGGTCAACTCGAGCTTGCTTTGCTTTTTTGTTTCAAATTTAATTGGTTTGTTCACTAACTGGTTTCTATTAAATGGTAAAAAAGTAAAATTCAAAATATTAAATCGAAATTCCAAAAGTATAAAGATCAAAAATGAAACTTTGATCTTATCCTTACAAAAAAAGTTATTATAATAAAAGCAATTTAAAATAATTAAGAGTTTCAATCACATATTATTGCAACTATGCTGCTTATTTAACTACAAGAGACGCTTTACTATTTTCCCAATTATTTTGTTATGTACCGTTTGAAAGAACCATTTGCCATCTCAGCCCAGCCATTTCGAAAATACACTCGAACATATCTTTCGCCCACAGTTTTGTTTGATTTGTGAACTAACGACGCTTTAGACCTAATACCCAACCAGGTTGAGTAACGAGTTTAGTAGTAGAATACGTGTGAGATTGGCGATGAATAATTTCTGCTAACCAATGGCTCAACATAGACTCTTGACGATCTAAAATAATATGCGTATTCTTTATTGGATTTTGTTTCGGCATATTCCCGATAACAATGTTTTTTTTGTAAAAATTGCACACTTACAATCCGAACCGTATTAAAATCGAAACAATCTTGAGTTGAACTGCACAGTTGTTCACAGTCCTCGACTTCAGATCTATTTATACTCTTTAAAGGGCGCACAATTTTACGTTCATTCTCACGACGATAATTATCAATGAAGTGTACTCGATCAAAAAGCTTAACAGTAACATATACATTAGAATAAACTTCTTGTGCATGAATTTCACCAATACGAGTTATTGGTATGACTGAAGTCAAGAATTTTTCAGTAGATTCCTTGATTGTTTCCATATTGTATTCAACCATCAAAGGATTTGAAAAGAAGAGTTGAAACCAAGTATAGCTTCCAGGTTCTTCATAACAACCTGAAACATCGAATCGATTTTATGAATAGCAATGATTTACTTTAAAGTTAAGCCAAATTAGTTAATTTGTTAAATTGATCATCTGAAGACCAAAAAATGAACAAGGTGTAAATTTAAATTACTTTTAATTATTTCTAATTGAGATAAAATAAGATTTAAAAGAAAAAATCAAATGTTGAACATTTCTCTGCTGAAAAGCAGTGATAAGGTTTACATGGAAATTTACAACTGATCAGCAACTTGTTCATCTACTTGTCTTGTCCAAGCAAAACTTTGCTTGTCTTCTGAAGTATTACGCATTTGTTTAACTTTTATGTAACCAAATGGTGCAGCGAATCCCAATAAAGCACCGACAAACAAGAACAGCATAATTATTCCGAAAGCACCTGATCCACTTGTTCCTTTCATCACCTGAGTCGAACTGGATTCTTTGCTATTCTTTCCATTAAATTCCCCTTTCAATTCATAATTTGAACAATCGCCTCCTTCAGTGGTCTTAGTATTTGAACTTTTAACTGAAAATTGAGTCAATGAACAAGAACCTTCTGTTTTACTTTTAGGACAATAATTAAATGATTTACATGCAGCGTAACCATCGGGCCATCCATGACATAATGATGCACATTGTTCAAAATTTAAATTCATTTCCGTGTAAAGCACATCTGAAACGATTTTGTTGCCCGTTTTCTGGTATTTTTCAGTAACTTTGGCTAATTGAATTAATTAAAAAGAAATGAATAAACAATAACTAGACAAAACAACAAACTTGTTACTTATTTTCATGAATACTTACGATGATATATACTGCATTCTCCATCATATTCAGTAGCTGCATCAGTATAAAAACCACCAAAACTACATTGATTATCACACCATTGGAAGGAGAAACAATCAGGTGAAGCATGACAATACTCTCCACAAGAATAAATATTTTTTTCGACTGCGATTGAAGTCGGGGTTTTAAATCTCCTGTGAGGTACTTCTGAGTAATCATTGAGAACATTCAAAGCATAAATAGAACATGTTTTGTCTTTTTCAACGTGCGATTCGTCCAACGCGTCTTCAGTTAATACGCTACTGACTCTACAGTCATCATTTGAACAGAATGAGAAAGTATTGCATTTGAGTTGCTCTGAATTATGACAGGTTCGATAACAATCAGCCAAATTTTTTACATCTGGTACAATCACTGTACCTTGATCATTGCTATTTATTTTTGCACCAACTTTAATGATGTATAGGTAGAAATCAGTCGAGGCAACTTGGTTCTTCGTCTTATCGATAACATCAATTAATTTATAATATCCAACTTGAAAGAAAATGACAAAGAAGAAATTTTGATAAGATCAAGGTTTTAGGTCTCGAGTGAAATATTCCCACTTTTGAACCGCACAGCCAAAACTGTTACCACTTAATTGAGAAAATACTATTATATTTGGTTAACCTATTAAATAATGATAGTCTTAAGATTATGCCACTAAATTTCACAAGATGATTTTTCTGTATCTAAAAACATTCACATTTTCAAATGATACTTGGTTATAATTTTTTGGAACTATAACTATAGCTTATAAGTTATAAGTTAAGGACTCAAAAGTGGAAATATTGCACCTGTAAACTCAGTGTAGCTAAAGGCTGAGAAGTACTTACGTTTATGTTCATTGTGCAAACTTAGTAACCAGTAACTATTTCCTACGTCTTGCAAAAAAGTCTTGTGAAGCTGATCGAGTGGTAATTCTTGGTCAATGCGACGCAAGTTATGTAAAGGAAAGTGATAGACGCTGCATGGTTCTCCGCCTTTTGTATCTTCCTTGAGATCTTCAAATTTTGTCAAATATCCACAAGAAGAATCTGATGGTCTATAAATTACTACACTGAATAAGAAAAGAACAAAATTATTAGTTTTCATTAAATCAAACTGCCCAGGTTCCGAGATATATAATACTTTATCTTATCCATGACTTTTGATAATGTGTTCAAACATTCAACTTCAGTTTTTGTTTTGATTGTTTTCATCTTTTTAAATGTATCTGAACTGACAGACATCGTTTTTGAGTTGAAAATAACTGGAAAAGAAGAAAAAGTTTAACAATTGAATTAAATTGTAAGAATGTAAAATGTCCAATGATAATTACATTGCAAATTAGGTAAATCCAGGAATGTCACTTCCATTTCAAGTTGTGCGTCATTGAAATTATATTGAACGTTATCGATTCGTAGCTTACTGATTGTTTCGTATGGAATAACATTAAACATGAAGTCTTGTTTCAACTCGTAAACATGACTTTTTGTGAGTTTTTGTGAAGAATGAGTATCGTCTGAAAGTGGAAAAGAAAATTATCAGTTATAAGCACTTAAGATCAATTAGCAACACATACAGTTAGCCTTCCATTGTTAATACATTTCACATTGTAACGTTACTACACGACTTTCATTACAGTCAATTTCAATTTCAGAAGATTGTTAATAAAACATATAAATTAAATTATTAATCTGTGTCTAACACTAGGAAACAACTGAAAATCTGCAACATCACGGAATTTCAACTATAGATGTGATCTTCGTCGACTGCATTACAATAATACAAGCTTACAAGCTTATTACAATAACACAAATAGTTTTGCCAAGCGTTGAATATTGACTATTACATACCTTCTGGTTGTAATTTGAAAGCAAGGGTTAGTTTTTTATCGCTATTCAAATATTTACATTCTGCCAATGTAAAAATATCATGAAATTCATCTTCAGATCCGGCCTGTTCAAAATTCATGTAAACTCTTGTAATTCCATCCGTCAAAGTGTAAGTTTTTTCCTAGAAAAAGACAAAATATGGAAAGAAACATTAATCTTTTGCGAATCATAATCATTCAATACTTACCGATGAATCCAATTTATAGATGGCAATTGTGGTACTGACAAGTCTATAGCCAGGGAATATTTCACTGTCATGCTAAAATCCATTTGATTGAATATTTTAGCACAAATTGAATGAGAAATGAAAAATTAAATTACACAAGAAAATCATATGTTTGAGTTATTTTATCTTAGAATAACCTTATTTTCACTATTTTCACTACATTTACATCTGTTTCACTTTATTATTTTGTAATTGCATTTACATTTGCTGCTACAATATTAGTTACAGTCAAAATAGTTTAACTTAATTAAAATAGTGTCAAACTTACCGATTCAACAAAATATTGAGTGATGACAGCTTTATCGGCCTTTTTCCCATTGATATTAACATTATATTCGATCGCTTCCCATGCATCTACTGGAAATCCAGATCGGTGTTCCTAGGGTAGTTTCAAAACAGTTATTTTTAACTTTATATCCAATCTTGTTCTATCCAATTATCAAATTGTTAAATTTGTGGTTACTGCATGCACAGTATAATCCCATTGAAATTGCAACTTCACCAAAGAATCTTTGGTGAAGAACCAACTCGGGTACAACAGTTATAAGTGGTATGAAAGATAAACCTAAAAGTCTAATTTTTTTATTATCCTTGATGTTTGAGATTCGATACACTTGCAATAAGATACCAGATAATGGGTAACTGTGAAATAGCTTATTTTCACTATTTGTCGGGCAGCACATTTCATGATTTTCAATCTTTTTAATAGATCGAACTGAGCTAAATATTATTTTGGTAAGGCTTTACTTTTACGGACAAAGGCGTGAACACTAAAACATATGATTTTTTGGTTAGGTAAGTTAGATCAAGGGGCTGTTGGTTGGTCGGTCAGGTTAGGTTAGGTTCGGTTAGGTTAGGTTTGGTAAGGTTGGGGTGGGCTTAGGTCGGCCTGGGGCCTTAATTAGCTTCATTTAATTCAATTGTTCATAAAGAGCGCTTTTAAAAGACGTCTACCAGGAGGATGATTTTTAAAGTTCACGCCTTTGTCCGGAAAAGTAAAGCCTTACCATTATTTTAATTTGATTTTGCGAGTTTTGCTTAATATATTATGATAGAGAATCGGTTAATAAGTACTAACTAAGTTAATTGATAATTAAAGAAGTCAAATTTTGATGAAATTCAAATCAACTGATCCTCAATTATCACTTTCATTTTCCTATTCAGTAATGCTGAAAGTTTAATCATAAGAAGAAACTACATTAAACTGTAAATCATTAATCTCCCCTAAAATAGGTATTAAATACATCAATGATGTAGGTCATTAATGAAATTACATCCATAAATGATCAGTTGATTACTTACTAAGTTAAACTTTCCAATATATTTGAAAGGGAAATCAAGAAGGAAAAGGTTTTCCAAAGTAAAGTAACCATCAGAACTGATTCCAGGTGAATTTAAATCTGCAGGTAATATGCTACAGCGTCCACCCTCTCCAAAGAGGTAAGAAACTCCAAGTTGATAATCGTAAATAGCTTCAGTTGTTACTCCAAGAACATTTGCTTTTAGTCGTAATAAGCCGGTCCTTCTTGATACATGAATCTGAAAAGGAAATTTACATGAAATGGAAATGAATTGAAATTGGAAATAATTTACTAACCTCACTGAATGTTCGAGTAGTAGTTGAACCTTTAATGTACTCGTACATAGTGTAATGTACATAATAAGTTCTTAATCCAGGGAATGAAGGTTCACTTGTGGACAAGTAATGTGGACATCCAATTCCAGGTAAAGGCTAAGGTTAAGAGTCAAAATGTGTAAATGAGAGAATCTTTCAACTCTTCAATTTTTATTAAATGTTGTTTTGTTTCACTTCAAGGAAAAGTCAAAATTCAATTCTAGTTGCCAGAACATGCATTTCATTCCTGAATAATTATGATTTTGATCTTTTTTTCAGCGATTTCGATACACAAATAGATTTAGACATAAGCAAACTCTTGAATGCATGATGGCTCTCATAATATTATGATTGCAATAAATCACTTTAAATTGGAAATTATTAATCTGAATAATGAAGTAGAGTGAAATACTTACATAAACTTTATTCACAAGTTGATCATAATAGCTTTCATCTTGAAGGTAAATATCAAGAATAAGATTCTCATCGTAACTGTATGAGCTTGACGATGGATCATATCCACTGAATTCAATTCGACTTGGATGCTCAATTCCATAATCGTCATCAAAATGCTCTAAATGAAAAGGACGATTAAACTTGGTCCATCAAATTAATCAATTAATTTCTACTCACTTTTGTAATAATAAGTGATTCTCAATTTTTTATTTATTTCCGTTGTCGCCCCCTTCATCATGGTTCCTCTTATGTTTTTATCAGCAACTGCTTTCTGTTATTCAACGCATGAATTTGATTAAACATTCTCATAATGTTGTTGAAATATTTACCCAAACAAGTGAGGAATGACTAAGTCGGTATAAAATTGAAGGTCCCATCAAGAGTACCAGATTCATTACAGGTCTTTTGATTCCAGGTAAAGTCTGATCCCAATTGTTCTTGAAAGTGAATGGTAAACAATTTGTACCTTCAGATCATGGAATAAGTAAGAATGATTATTAAGATAATTTTACAGCAAATGCCATGAGTAAATATAATCTTATTTCTCGAAAAATTACAGTCAACAAAGAATTTTCTTACGAGTCGAAACATATGTCAGAAAATTATTTATTGCTTTTTAATTTCTTAAATTCTTATATTAAATCTAATATAGTTAAATCTTACCATGAATGACCAAGCGGTTCTTGTTGAGATTAGAATCAGTATTATAATAGACTTTGTAAGAATCCTTTTCACCTGAGATCACAATTTTGCCCCTGATGGTTTTACCAGAAGCTGATATCGATTCTTGAATGAAATATTTAGTGCCAGCATTCTGAGACGCAAAGCATTAAGAGTTAGAATAGTCACGATTGGTTGGTTGTTTAACTTACGATATCAGTTAAAGTAGCGTTAATGTTTACGCTTTTTCTTCCTGTTCTTAGTGGTAAATCCACCAAATCTGTTGCACTTCCTATGTTTGTTATGAATTGAATTAGAAATTGATTGAGTTTATATTTTCAGTCAATTAATGAAAACTTTTTCTTACCTGTTTTAAATGTTGTAAGTAAGATGACTAAAAATGATAATATAAATAGCATTTTGTTCCGTTCATTTTGCAGGGAAAATGACATGTTAAGACTTAATGAACAATCACAATCAACTGTAACAATTTCAATTTACTTATGATGTTGTACGTTTGAGAATGATGCGAATGCTAATTGAAATGATCTTTATAATGTATTTACTAACAATAAATAACAATAAACGCCTAAGATTAATCTTTCGATTATATTTAATCAATAAATATTTTGTTCGACAACAAAACACTATTTACAAAGTTTTTCTTATATTGATTCCAACCTTCATTTTGCAATCAATAGATTTTCTGCCGATTAAAAAGTTGCAGCATCTTGCATCAACAGTCAATTTCGGATCCACCAATAGTCCTGGATTCTCATTGCATCAAAATAAACAGCAATAATGACATTCTAATCATAATCAAATGTTATTGCAACTTTGAAAACATGAAGTTCAGTTTTACCACCAGCAAACATATAATTTTAATTGAATGATTTGGAAGATGAATTTGGAATTTTTATGGATGATCAGTTCTGAAACCTGCATTGCATGCATTCGAAGCTTGATGTAAGCTAATTTGTAAGCCATGCTAAATAGTGATGAGTCTTGGATTCATCACTATTTAGCATGTAGTCTACGTAGGCCTCAATTAAAATTCAATATCCTTGCTTCTTTAAATACCAAGGGGTAGGAAATAATGATACCGTTTTCAAATTCGAATAATATATTGATTTTGGATTTTTTTAATTAGATTTTTCTTATAAGATGAAAATTCAGTCCTTTGTCTTTGATTTTTTACTACCATCGTAATTTTCGGACCTACAGATAACGCTCAGCCCGATTTTCAAAACAGGTCCATGAAAAAAGTTTTTTAAGGTTTAACATGGCGCGTCTATGGGAAATCGGAAAAACTTGATTTTTACATGTTAATTTTCCCATAGGTTTCAAAAAATGTTTTCGACCAACTCTTTTTAAAAATCGATCTGTGTGCTATCTATGCGTCCCAAAACTGCGATTATAGTACCAAATGAAAGATATTAGACTGAATTATCTCTGTATGAAAAAAATCGAATTCAAAAAATCAAAATCTGACATGTTGTTTCAATTTGAAATCGGTATCATCTTTTTCCTAACCCTTGGTAAAGGGCAAGATATACAATTATAAAATATTAGGAAAAAGTATTAGGAAAATTCATTTTTTTTATTATATGTTACGACGATTCGATGTATTTTTAAGCATTTCGAGCATAAAAAAAATCACTAACTCACTTTGACACGCTACTTTGAAAAACGTAGATTCTTTTATATTTGATTAGTTAAAGATTTCTTATGAATCAGTTGATTGCCATATTTTATACCATTAACACTGAAAAATTAGTCATAATGAATTTCAAGTTTTCATGGACTGAATCATGAACATCTCATAATAACGTAGAACATATAACCCTACTTCGATTTCGGATATTTCAGCGATTATTACGAAATAAAAAGGCCAGAAGGTCACCTTGCTGCTGTCGATGAGATGCTGATGTTTTATATCGTAAGAATCGCTGAAATATTCGAAATCGAAGTACTTTTCTAAAAAGTTTCGTTTTAAAAGCTAGAAAATCCGTTTTTTCGATCAGCTTTCCATGAAATTTAGTTTCGGTGATGATCTGAACTTTTCAATTGACCTGTGTTGGGTTATATTAAGTGAATTACATCTTTTTAAATAACTTTGAGGCCAAATTTCGCCATTTTTCGATTCTTCGAAATCCTAGTATGAAGTTGAAAAATATATGGTTTTTGACTTAAGGCAAAATTAGATTTTGACGTCTTCGTCCATTTAAGGTCATAACTTGACCATTTCTGATCAAAATTAATTTATCTTTGCACAAAAGAAAAGCTTGCTCGAGAAGTGTACCTTTATTTTATCGGTTGAATGGTGCCTGTAAGTCTAGTCTAACTGACGCAATTCAATTCTAAAAAACTATTCTGTGTTTTTACCGGTCATACCTTAGCTAAGAGTTGAGACTTTGTGTGCTTGTAGGGGCAGCAAAACTAAGTCCATTGGTGCTACTGAAAAATTTCGAGAAATAATTTTGAGAAATAAAATTTTCTGCTTTTTCATAACGGTTCACTTCAATTTACAGTTTAATCAACTGATTTCTGTGACCGTAAAATTTAGTGAAATGAAAATCACGGATTGAATCATCATGGATTGATTTTTTTGTCAGCTTATCAACAGTTGTCTTGATTTTGCCTAAAAATTTTAACCGACAAAATCGTTGTGTCAACCGTCAATAAGTAACCGTCAACAATAAAACAAATGAAGAGTCTTCCCGAGTAATCTTTTAATTCTAAAGAATTTTAAGGAAGTACCCTGAAACTTAGGTTTTAACCCCTTATAAAGGCTTACCAGGCGTACTTAGAGCACCAGACCATCTATTCTGACCAAACTCTCGTTACAATGTAAAAACACTTACATATTACCGGACCCTTGTGTCAAACTGGCTATGGTTTACTTATAAGGTATGACTGGTAAAGAATGGAAATACATTAAAATCTTTAAATTTTGATGTCGACTCACACTCTTCCCATATTGTCACCAAATTAGACATGTTTTAACCGAAATTTATTGGGCTTCAA